CGGTCACCCGCCGCCGCCGGCAGGACGAAGCCCAGGGCAGGGGCAGAGCTGTGTGGCAGCCGGGACGGGACGCGCGTACCTACGCACCGGGGGCAGAACCCCGAATCCCCCGGGTTTCTAGCAGACAGGCATGCATGGCAGGGAAAGGGAAGTTTGCCTTACTCTGGAGAAAAAGGAGTGGGGATGGCTGGAACTGCTTCCAGAAGACCAACCAGAAGCTGCAGAACTGGATGGCAACCCGGCAGCATGGCCAGGGCGGCACAAGTGCTAGCGCAGAGCTCTGGTTCTGCCTGCCAAGTCCCGAGCGGAAGAACCTCGTAGCTACTGCTGAACAACTAAGACTAGAGCAACTCCACGTGGCGTGGACACCTTCAACGCAAACACAATCCAATGTTTAAGTACGTAAGAAGCTGGGGTAGGCTTCGTAAAACCCATGGAAACGCAGAGAAAAATGAAAGAGCGGGAGGGCGTTGCCCTTCACCTCCGGACACTGCAGCCATCGCTTCTCCTGGCTTGAGCCCCACCAGAACGAACGCTGGGCTGTGGCGCTGGGCGGGAAGAGTCCCTGCGTGGAAAGGTGCCCCAAGATGAAAGTGCAGAGCGATCGTGGCTGCAAGACTGGTTCTGTGCAGGTCTCAAATCCTTACCATTGCGGGGTCAAACTTGCAAGAGGAGCACGTACATGGGACAGGAGGAAGGAAGAAGGGCTGGCGGCAAAGAGCGATTCATGCTCAGACCACCTTTCCTCGGAGGAGCGATCAGGCCTACCACCTTCTTCGGAACAAATCAAGCTGAGGAAGAAAAGCTGGAAGGAGAAGCCAGTTTACTGGTGACAGCATTTGCCAGTTCCCTCTCTGCCGCTCTCCCTTGCCCCCTGCCTGTCCCTAGCACAGCGGTTTATTTGTCCTCTGTCCACTCCGGGATATTGGCCCCCGCTAAGGCAGCCCGGTACTGCTGCAAGACACCGCGGATACTTTTAATGAACCCCTTGGACAAAGGGAAGAGGGGGAACCCAATATCGGGGTA